TTGAAACCATCCGATCGATATTGAAAGTTTAATATTAATTAACGTCTAACAACGGCTAAATCAACACACCTATCTACATTTCGTGCAACACCCCGTGCGCGTTGAATTTTCGCTCAGGTTCAGAATTGATCCTTGCTTTTCAATTTGTCCCACGCGTGTGTTACACGCGTCTTATCGCCACGAACGACAGAGTCTGACGTGCTCACGCGATTCTCCCCTTCGATAACCAATTAACCGAAATACCGAAAGTAATTTTAACCTTAACTTTCGCAGTTGCCGCTCAAGAAAATGGAAAAGATACACGCGACGACGAGATCTATCCATTTGTTTGTTTTTCCCAATATCGTTAAACGATATTTCCCTTTCTGTGGATTTACCAAGGATTTATCAAGATCCGGATTAATAATTCATGGAATTTAATATCCGCCTCGCGATGGAATTATAGGGCGCCATTTGGCTGGAAGAAGGCTTCCGCGTGATCTGACACCGCGTGAAAAGTATTGCTCTGCATTAATCGACCCCTCCCTTTACCCGGCCTGTTTGCTGCTCGACAGATTTTACCAGGTCGTTGGTCATATATCATCGGGCAAACGGCGGACATGATGTTGGCCGATAATGCGATGCAACATATATATATATATATATATGGGTGGACGTTATTAGGGATGACACTTGTCAACCAATCGGATCGTTTAATCGTATCGCGTCTTTTTCATCGGAGGTTTCTTGCCTCGCAATCGTGGGGGACGCGTTAGGAAGGCTCTTTTTATCCCCATTGACGGGAAGTAAAAGTAGTCAAGTTTTCGAGACAAAAAGCAGAGGAGGGTGGAGAGGATTCGATATTGATGCTCTGGGAGAAAAAGTTTCGTTCTTAAGGAAAAATGGAATGGTTCAGAATCTTCGCGAAGTTCTTTTTTTTTTTTTTTTTTTTAAATTTTTCTGCGCTTCGGAAATCTCTCTTTCTCTCTCTCTCTCTCTCTCTTTCGCGTGTCAAGCATTTCTGTAACTGAATTATACGGTAGACGGATCACCGGTCCATCCCCCTCGATAGTGGAAATGTGATTCGTTCGAACGAAAGTGACACGAAATTTGCCTGCACGCGTCCACGATGCAAATCTAATTTCCATTTGCATTGCGTTATCCTGACCGGTTTAATAATTACTCCACAATCGTATATATTCGTTAACGAGCTACGTTTTCGAAACGATAACGATGTATTCGAAATTGGCCGATAATAGCTGGATGGAAAATTGAAATGTACCGTTTGAAAATGACTCGATGTAATTTTAATTCTCGTTAAAAAATTCTCGTTAATAAATTTTACGAACGATCGAGAAAGTCCACGACGATGTCGAACGATGTCGCTAACTGGATATATTAGACAATCAAAGCTTTCAAGATTTCCTTGAGAAATTGCACGTCGCGTGAATTGCAATCAAAAGCGTTTCGAAAACGCTTAAGATTGCTCGAGCTTGGGTAACGAAACACGAAACATCTCGTGGGGGATTTGTAACGAGTTTGTGATAAGCTGAAATTGAATTCCTGCAGATTCATTAATAACGTTTCTATTTTTTCTTTCTTTCTACGTCTTTGTCGTTGTTCGGATTTTTGACGAGTCAGTCAGGAACGAAAGAAAAAGTTTTTAAACTCGTTCTAAAAGTAAAAGCGAGGGGGGTTGCGATTGATAAATTTCGTCGACCTACATTTTAACAGTTGTCAGCGGATCGAGTACCGTGCAGTACGTGTGTGTACCACACGCGTGCAAATCAAGGTCGATCCTTCTCCACGAGATTGCTGGAACCAATCGTTTCGATACGTCGGTGTGAATCACTGGTTGATCGACCACGGATCGAATAAATTGCTTTCGAGCACTCGAGCATCCTGTATACGCTGCTGGTCTTAAGTATCCAACCACTTTAGCGGATTTCTAATAACTATGCACGGATTTTAATGAGATGTACGAATCAACGAATTGAAGCAGCAATTGCTTTTATATTATATGGAGGAGTAAAATTTGTAATTATACTTTTTTTTATTATAACGAAATATATATAGAATTATTATCGATTCATATTTTTATTTACGCCTTGCAATTTCGAAATTAAATTGTGATTTCAAATGACGAAATAGTAGTGCGCATAAAAACGTAAAAATTTTTAATAATCGATCTTTTATCGTGCAACAATGATAATAAGTTTCCGTTCATGATTACGCGCATCCATTTTATCATTGCGCGCTATTCAGTTTTTAAAAAATCGGTTTTTCCTTTTGAAACGATGCCATACATTTTATGGTCTCCGTATTATTGATAGTAATTTTCGTCAAAGAGAGTCCTTCACGTAGTAATCCAATTTATCTCGCGCAAAATCAACATAGCAAGATTGAAAATGGAGCATCCATGAAAATGTTGTATAAATACGCGCGAAATTTTTTATTATTCAATCGAGATACATAGATCGATCTTGAATACGAAATCGCGTTTTCGTAAATTTCGAGAGACAGAGATATTCGCGTGGAAAATCATTTGGAAAATTCATTTTCGCGTAAAAGAAACGACCTTCCCTTTCTTCGTCGTCGATAAAGAACAAAAAGCGATATTATTATTATTACTCGAAAATTAAAAAATAAAATTAATAAACTAACGAATCACATACTCGAGCTTCCTATAATTTTTTAATTATCTTCGGATACGTTTGAACGTAATATTGAAAGCAGCTCAAAAATGTCGGAAATCGGACAGAAATAGTCATAAAATAATCGTCGTTTCGATCCGCTTGACTTTTTTCATTTTCGATTTTTCGTCTCGCCTGATATGCGTACGATCGTTGAAAAAAAAACAACGATGTGAAAAGAATGCCGATCAGGGTTTTGCAACGTAAATTAATCCATTGTCGACGAATCGAAAAAAATAAGAGAAAAATCGCACGATCAATCGGCTCTAGAAAATTTCGAACCCCTCTTCGAACACGCTAGGCGTTCCTCCGACAAATTAAATCCATCCAGAACGCGTTACGAAGTTGCAACGATTCGAAGAATCCCGTTTAAAATACTGTGCGCTCGTGCGAACGAGTCGATAGAATCGGATAATAGAAATCGTGATATAAAGTTGAGAAACGCGTGTAACGTGGAAAATTTGGTCGAACTAGTAAGAGGATAAAGGCAAGTAAGACTGAAAAGAAGCACTTTAGAGATGTGTTCGATTATTTCCTTCCTGAACGGAGTGTCTCCGTTTCTCGTTCAACGACAACGATATTCTACGAAACACGTGTACATGCGTCATACACGCGTGAATAAAATTCGTCTCGAACGATTACGCATCGTCGATGCATTGTACGACGCGAATAAAATAATAAATTAGGAACGGGGATGAACGAACGTTTTAATTGAAAAATTTCTATCCACATTTTTTTCATTTCCATCGTTCAAAATTCCATATTAATTTTGAAATCTCACAGTCTAAAAATCTTTTCTTGCATTTCGTTTATATTAATTTTCGCTCGCTTTTTGATAAGTTCGATCCATCCGGTTTTCTTTTGTTTTTTTTTTTTTTTTAAAGCTTTTCTCTTTTTGGAATTAAATTGGAAGCTTCCCTTGATATCGATTCTCGCGCGATTAAATCATCGCAACCGCCTCTTATTCCCCCTTATCTTCGCATATATTAAGCCACGCGTAGTGTAATTGGTCGCGTAGAGTAATAAATTGATATTAATGTGATTATTATCGAACCAGGCACCAAGAAATTAATTAAGTTAATTTCGATTTATTATTTATTACAAGACGCATCATATTTTTTATAGATAAATTTTCTAGAGCCTATTGATCGTGCGATTTTTCTCTCATTTTTTTCGATTCGTCGACAATGGATTAATTTACGTTGCAAAACCCTGATCGGCATTCTTATAATACCTATATACGTTTTAACGGCGCTTACAATTTTTCACAATGCAGAAGAAGGGGGTGGAAAAAAAAAAAAAAAAAAAAGGAACGGTTTCTTTGCCTCCAACACCTTAACGTGCGGAAATTATTTTCTATTCTGAAGAAGACTTATTCAAAGATCGGAAATAAGACGAAACGCTTTTTCCAATTACCACGGTTCAATGGCGGCTAGTCGTGGCGGCTCGTGGAAACTCGGGTGAATTAATTTTGAATACAAACCGAGTGCAAATCGAGGGCGGAGGGAGGGAAGCAGAGGGAAAAATAGCTGGTTTTCTGAACGGATGATTTTTCGCTGCAATGAAACTGTAAATGCAATTATCGGAAAAATTCATTTGAAAAAAGTGCGGGAAGGTAAACGTCGTTACTCGTTTCAACAACATGAACATAAAATTGATAAAAAGTCGATTTGCATTTTTTTAAAACAAGAATAGAGATTTTTTTTTTCTTTACTTCTTTTGCTTTCTTCTTTTTTTCTTTTTCTTTTTTTTCCATTCGATTAATTTCAACGACGAGGAAGGGGGTCGGTGAGGGGGCAATGCGGAATTTTTTATCGCTTCTTGTTTTGCTCGATCCAGTTTCGCGAATATCGGGCTTAAAGGATTTTCTCAAAATGCGATAAAATTATAAAATTTTGCTGATAAACTTTTTTATATTTCCTGCACTTGTCATCGAAAATCAATAACATTAAATTTATCAAAATCTCGCTCGGTTACGATCCCATCATATGCTTTGATACATTTCGCGTACAACGAACTATCTTTTATCTTTTAAAATAACAAACATTCATTTTTATCTTCTACAATTAATTTATCATTCATGTTTTTAACAATCTCCCCCAATGGAATAAATAAAAGATCCAAAATAGATCCAAAAATTACATATTCGCGTAAATGAATCAAAAAAAAAAAAAAGGATTGGTAAAAATTCACCTCACCACTTTTTTAAATAAAAAATTCTTAACCCCAACAATGACATAAATTATTAATTATTTTCTAATAACAACTTTCGAAACAGAGATAATATTAAAAGTAAGAAAGTAATATTAAGAAAAAAAAATTACTCACGTTCTCCTCGACGGTCTTCTTGATCTTTGCCCCAGCCTCGACCACGGTTTTTCCAGCCTTATTCACGGCGCTGTACAAAAATCCTCCGAGGGTCTTGGCGCCTGCCAGGGCTTTCGTTGAAACTGCGTCAAGAGAAAAATAATGAGCGGCGGTGATACGTTATAACGGCGGTGGAATTTAATGGGGGGGAGGGGGGCTGCCGGTCGGCGAAAAAACGTCCGCCGAAAAAAAAGAAAAAAGAAGAAAAAAACGCGAGCAGACTGCACTCTTTCAACACGCGGCACAAACGGGAGGAAACCTGGATACGTCGCTCGAATCTCTCTCGCGAGGATTCTCCCGCCGTTTATCACCGGTGCTCGACGAAAATTAAACACCCCCGACGAGTGGGGGATGTTCGCGCGTTAGTGGAGGATCGCTAGCTGATTTGCGAGGGATATAATTATTTCGTGTGACGGAATGGAGGAACGAAAGTGGAAAATGGAAATAAAAATAGTTGTCTGAATTTTCTCGCGTAGATGGATGATGATTTGGTAACGTTGGGAAATTGATTGTACGATAAATTTTCAGAAATTTATAATTTTATGTTAAATGTATGGTGGAATGGGATGGAGAAACGAAAGAATGTTGGAAGATGGAGAAAAAAATAGTTGTCTGAATTTTCTTGCGTAGATGATGATTTGTTAATATTGGAAAATTGAATGTACGATAAAAATTTTTCAGAAATTTATAATTTTATGTTAAATGCGCGATGAAATGGGATGAGATGGAAGCAAGAAAGAGTGGTGGAAGATGGAAGGAAAAATAATTCTGTGAATTTTCGTAGATGGGTGACGATTTAGTAATATTGGAAAATTTTCGGAAATTTATAATTTTATGTTAAGTGTGCGGTGGAACGAAGAAAGAGTGATGGAAAAAATGATTCTTTCGATTCGCTTTCATAGATGTGTGATAACTGATTGATAAATTTTCAGAGATTCTATAATTTTACATTTTTATGATAAGTGGAATGATCTATTATCTTATAACTTACTCGTAGAATTTTATTTATTTGATTTTAGGTAAGAGGATTTATTAAATTGCAAAAATTGCATTCTAAGAATTATTTTTTCTTTTTTTATAAAGAAATAACAAGAATGTTATGTTATTATTTTGGAATAAAAAAAAGAAAAAAATAAAATGAATCGTTAAACTCTATTTTATAAATCAAAAGGAAAACGTCGAGATAAAATCAGCAAGTATTTAATCATTAAATCCATTTTTTGTTGTCAGATTAAATAAATATTTAATAACGCAAATATACTTGACGTTTTTATTAATCAAATCATGGATCGCGTTTCATTAAGTTTTAAAAATATTGTTTTGCAAGTTAATTTCTATTTTCACGCCATTGTATATCGCACAATTTCAACACGCGATCAACAATCACCAGATAATTAAATATACAGAGAGGAGGAAAAAAGTTGTGAAATGAAATATCAAACATAATTGTTCATCTCTTGTTCTATTAAATACATTCACGCAAATATAAACGGATTAACATTTACTAATTAACAAACGTCGTCGCTTGACAGATTCAATTCTGAATCAACGTGGCCTTTGTGTTCAGCTTAAAGCATGTGTCTACGAGTATCAACCCCTATTCACTACGCATTCCATTCTACGGAATGACTTCGAACGATCTCGATTAACCTCGTGACAAACACTGATCAACGTGCCAAAGGTCATGATACTTCTAACATTCAACATCAATTTTTATTCCAAATTGAATTTTTTCGATTCAATATTTTATATCTCAATTTTTCTCTCGTTTCGAAAATTGAAATCATATATATATATATATTTCACACTTTCCTCGAATTTAAAAAGACACGAAGAAAATCGTCAGATTTAATATGCAAATTCGATACAATTCTTTAAAATTGTCTCTAATTGATTCGCGTTTCTTTGATGTTAAATGGAATAGAAAAATCCATTATATCGATAAGAGAATGACACTTCCTCCTTGTTAATATTTAACGATTAATCCAATTGTTCAATAAAATTTTCCGATTAACCGAACGATAATTCGAAATCAGCAATATATATATATATATATATTTAACGAAAAAGATCCATTCCATATCATCTGATTGTACCTTTTCTCACATCACCGAGACGAAATTTCACTCTCATCTCGTGACGTCGGTCGACCATCCCTGATCCAAATTGCCAGCTGACAGAATAGCTGACGGTACGCAGAAGCATATTAACTCTCGCCGGTTCACTCACTTCTCTTCGAATAAATATTTTCCTTTCTTTTTTTTTTTTTTTTTCTTTTTTTATTCCCACGATTGGATAAAATCCACCACGCACCACCAGTGTCATTCAACCCCGCTCAAATCTTCTTATCTCTCTCTCTCTCTCTTTCGCGTGGAAAGGTTTAAAGGTCGGAAAAGAAGGGGTGTTTAAACGCGCGATGGATGGAAGAATTAAGCGCGGTCTCTCGCGGAGAAGCGTTAACTCGCATAAACCATGGACGTTGCCGCAGCCCAGCAACTCGTTCCTCGACGTAAATTCGAGGCCAATTTAATCAACCAAATTGAGCCACTTCGATTCACCGTCGCTCCTCCGTCTTCGCCTCTATATCCCACCATCCTTTTCACTCCCCATTCTTTTTATCATCTCTCTTTCTCTCTCTCTTCTTTCGATTAAACGAGGCCTCGATGCCGGAAATTCATAGGATCGAGGAGGCGACCCGGCCACCGCATTTGCACAATAATTCCGGTGTTACGCGGAATTCAATTCAATTCACGGTCGAACGAGTCGAATAGAATAAAATGGAGAGGGGAAAAAAAGAAGAATAAAATAAGGGGAGGAGAAAGGAAGGGGGAGAGTCATCGTGGCACTTTGCTCGACTTTGTTGTTGGCATGATACCAACCCTTGTGAAACAGGTGCCAAATATCGTGGAGGCCTCGCATCGTGTTTTAACGGTTTAACGATGTGATTTGTTGCCTGGCAAGATCGACCTCATCCTCGCACCCCCTCCTCTCCTGGACAATTTATCGTGGCCGCGTATTTAACCAGTGGAATAACGAGAAATATTGCACCGTCGTGTAACTTTCGTCGTTGATCGCGGAGAAATGGGCGATGATGGGGCGGGTGATCACGGATTCCAATCGAGTTCAAATTTTCCCCTCGTTGGAATAACTCGGATTCGGCACGCGATATCGAACTCGACACGTCACTTCATAACTTGCACTTTCGTTGCAACGTAGTTGTCCGATTTTCTCCCTCTCTGTTTTTCGAGGGAACGAGCCTTCGAGAGAATCGAGAATAGGTGAGTTCTCGTCCTCGCCGCGGGAAGGCAAGACGAGTTTTTTTGGATTCTTCTGATTCAACGACAGGGATCCAGAGAAAAATGAGAGGAGACGTGATGCGCAATGTTTCGCGAGACGACGGCCAACTGCGGTTTCGAGTTGCTGGCGATTGTAAAATACAAAGGGGAAGGGGAAAGATTACGCGACGTGTGTGTATATAAACGATTCACGATAACTCTGAGCAGTAGTATCGCCAACGACAAGTTAAAGCATATTATATAAGCTCGAATTTTGAAAAAAAAAAAAAAGAAAAAGAGGGGGAAACGAAAGAAGCTTGAAAAGAGAAATTTTCAATCGATAGAGAATAATTGAATCGATTAAATTAAAGGTTCAATTCAATTGTTCTAGAAGAGATTTTTGAAGATATAATAAATTTTTTTTTTTTTTTTAATAACACGAGTTTCTGGAAACATCTCAGAAAAATAACTTTTTTAGAATTGAAAATCATTCGTGTAATGCAAATTGGATAAATTAAATAGTGCTGCGCCTTTCAGTCTTAATCTTCATTTCTTTCAGTTCGCTTCTTCTTCAAAAATCTTCTTTTCAAGTTTAGTAGAAAAAAGTTTAACCAAGTTTCTTTTCAAAACGCGAAATTAAATACAAGAAGAAGAAGAAGAAGAAGAAGAAGAAAAAAAACTATCGTCGCGCTTTTCAGAACCGTCAAATGCAAAAAAGTCCCTTGAGGTACAGATCTTAATTTTGATTAGGGAGGGCCATCCCTTATTTCATCCTTCTCTCTACACTCAAATTTCAACGTGTACTCATTCATGGCTTTGCATTTCGTCCATTACGATAGAATAGCCTAATACTCATCGATCCACCCCCTTTCCACCCTCCTTTCCTCCTCCCAACTTTTTATTCACTAAATCCATTCACGATGAAGGGAGAAGGGAAAGTTCGATCTTAAAGTTCGCAAATTGAAACGATATCAGACAAGGGGTGTTGTGGAAATTATATGACGTGCCGGCTGGCATTTAATCAAACATCGACCTTGCGCCTCCATCGCGTTAACCTCGTGCCAGTTTCGTAGCTAGGAAATCAAAGAGGAACGAAAAAAGGAAAGGAAGGAAAAGGAATGAAAAAAAAAGGGGGGCGAGGGAAAGAAGAGAGAAATAGCGGGATCTTAGCTCGAGAGAGGAAAAAATAAAAAAAAAGAGATACGTTTAACTCGACGTGCACGTGTCTCTTCCTCTACGTGTCACGCGATCCTTTGAAAATACCTCGTAGGCTCGTTTGCTATTCCTCGGGGTATCCAATGGCGCATTCGAACGTGCAGCGAATATATATATACATATATCTCGAGGAGAGCAATAGTAAATAAAATTACTGCCTCTATCTCTATCCCAATTCAATCATTTAATAATCCCACACGCGATCTTAACCGAGCAGAAGCGGATTCAACGTTCGAGTTCGAGATCTCTCCTCCACCCCTTTGGCCCCCCTCTTCTCCGCGATCATATCCGATTTATCGTCAGAACAGAAAGTCGTTGCACCCAATCCTATATCGAAATTCGAATATACAGAAAATCTTCCATCTGTTCTCGTGGAGAGTGAGCACAAGGGCCAAAACGAAGCTCGTGATAGAATCGTTGGTATCGTTGTTCTCGACGACGAAAATCCCCCAGCTTTATTCCTCGATGTTTCGAACGGGAAGACTGGGAAACGCGCGATACAAGAATTCAACGATCCTCAAATTTCGCAGTCACCCGATCGAAGGAGAGAGAGGGAGAGGAAGAGGGAAGGGAGAAGCACCTCTACGTCGTTTCGTAAACTTTGGTGTCATCGAACCCTGGCCATCTTCCGGAACGATGGTCAAAGAGGGTGCCTTCCTTCCTCCTCCTATTCTCCTCGAAAAAACGATAGCGAGTAGTGTGTCTGAAGTCTGAAAAGAAGAGTAAAGGGCAAGTAACGAGGGCGAAATTTCTTTCTTTCTTCTATTCCTAGGCTCTTTGATCGCCGAGTTTCCATTAGGATTCCTCTTGGCGCAAAAAATTTTTCTCTTCCATCGAAGAGAAGTTTGGATACAAGTCTTGAGATTTTTCTTCTTTTCTTTCCTTCTCATTTCCTCGAGTCAGTGTGCGTCACCGCAATCTATCGCCACTTTCTGGATAACTCTTTCGAGTTTGGATGGGTTTGTTTGAACAGAGCGACGAAACGGGTGTGGAAAAGTGCCCCAGGCCGCCTATAATTAATTCTAGTGGCGGTCGTTGCAACCCGGCTCGTTAGCATTTTCGATCTGACCGTTTGTTGCAACTGTGTGCTAATATCTCTCCTTTGCCCCCTACTTACACGAAACGTGAAGAGGATTAAATAAAGGCTAGCTAATTCTGGTGGAAGAGAGTAATCGTGTTTTTTTACGAAGATTCTTAGAGTTGGCGACAAAGTGGAAAAGTGAATGGAGAAAATGGGGGCAAGATTACGCGGGAAAAGCGCAAGGTCGAGGTACGTTGAAACCGTACGTTGATTAAAACCGAGCAACGACACTATCTCTCTCCTTCTTTCTCTCGCTCTGTCCTCCTCCTCCTCCTCCATTTACTTGACGGAATAATTAGTGCGTGCAATTAGCCTGGCTTGAAGGCAGCTAAACTCCTGCCTGAAAATTGCACGATTTAACGATTGTTTGTCAGAGGCCAACACAATTTCCCGGACTCGGGATTAATGTCTCTCTCTCGGGGACCCCGTTCAAGTATGCAAGCTCCATTATAGAAAAGGATCGATGCCGACTCTTAGAGCTTGGCCTGGTTAATAAGAATTCGTGGTAACTTCTTCTGATCGTCGAAATGAAATAAATAAAAAAAAAAAGAAAAATCGAAAAAAGAACGAAAAATGAAATAAAGATGGAAATAAAACGAAAAAAAGGTAATACAGAGATAAGAATTTATCGTTTACGTTATAAACGAAGATAAAAAAGAGGGGCGGAAAAATGGGGGAAAGATTTAAAGAAAGTATAAAAATCGAAACACCGCGTCGTTCGTTATATTTATTCGTGGCAACCCCAGCCGGCCCAGATTCGATTCGGTGTTGAAAGCGCATCCAGTCGCTCCCAACCTTGACCCGCAGGGAGCAGAAAAATTCGCGAGACCCGCTCTGCCGGGTTGTTGCGGTGGTCCGTCCACAAACCGCGAACAATTTTACGCGGTTCGTCCGCGTGCAGGCGCAATTTTCAGAAAGGCGATATGGTCATTGCTGGCCGTTCGCCTCTCTTCTCTCACGCGTTCATTTGAATTTCGCTTCGTTTTCCGATCGATCGTCTCTTTCTCTCTCTCTCTCGTTCTAACCCCCGATCGACCATCCTCCCCATCGACACCGACAAAATATAACCTTGACCGTTCGTTTATCGAGTTTTCGTTAAATGAAAAATAGGAGGAGAGGAGCCTGGAGGAGAAAGCTACGTCGACGAAAGGAATCTCCGCCGCCGTTCGAACTAAGCTCGAGAGGCTTACGTGGCTTTTCTCGTTTGGCCTTCGTCACGGTGCGATATCACCGTGGCCAGGCTTTTGGGAGATTTCGTGGATACGTTTCTTTCTCTCCCTGATGATTCCTCTTTCCTACATATTGGATTTTTGTTTAATTAATTTAATTAATTTAATTAAACTCTGCGTTACGCAAACGATCTTCTTCTCGAAATAAAATGGGAACGGCGTTACATAGAAAAATAATTTCCTCTTTCATGGATTTCTAATTTCACCCGTTAAAGACAGACAGGGAAAGTGAAAAAGTGGAAAGAAAGAGGGAAGTGGATGCAACTTCGTACAAGCATTTCGTTGATTTCGGTGAGAAGAGTCGCTCGTATTGATCGAGAAAGATGCGGTCCAACGCGACGAACGTTTATTCGCCGGATTTGGTTATATTCGGTAGAATTGGGTAGCAATTCCGTCGCGAAAGTTGCACGAGGAAACCGCCACCCACTCACTGTTCATCGCCCACACACGATCCCAGCAAAGTCATCGCGATTTGTATAGTTAAACGCGTTGAGAGGCCATCGAGGAGCCTTGCGTTTCAACCTCGATTACGCTCCTCCCGACGCTTCATCGAGAATCGACCAATATCCAACCGTTGTATCTGGGTTTTCCAAGTTCCCAGGCCAAGGACGAATCCGTTAACTCGCCAAAAACCTTGTTTCTCTTCCCCCCCTTGTGGACCTATTACCCACTTTTTAGAGACTTTTTCGCTCGTTAATCTTCCCTCGATTCGCGTCCAAATGTGCCGCCCTTGAATATTTCAGAGATTTAACGATTATAATCTCGTATAAAAAAAAAAAGAAAAAAGAAGAAGAAGAAACTTCTTCTTCCCCTCCCTAATTGAATCTCTCTGGCCATTGGCGCCACCGCCCTTTTTACGATCCCCCTCGTTTGCTTTTTCCTTCTTTCTTTTCCTTCGACTTCTAAAGGAGAAAGTTGGTAAGTAAGTTCACAGTTGTATCCGAGGACGTGCTTTATTTCCTTGCCCGGGAAACGAGGCAGCGACAGCATTATGCAACCGTTGTTTCGTTTCCACGACCAAGTTTCCTCCTCCTCTCCTGTTCGGCAACTAATGACGTTAGGGAGATTGCTTCCAGTTCATCGCGCCCCTCACGACCCATAAAATGGAAACAGTATGAGTGTATATATATATAATAATAACTTGGAAGAATTTCGAAGGAGGAACGTGCGTATAATCTTAATACACGTATACCGACGTTCTCACTGATTAAACAACGCCCTACTAACGTTCAAAAGTCCCTTTTCTATGATCTCGCGACCCCTGACGAGCGTCTCTGTTCGAGCGACGAAAAAAAAAAAATGGCCTTTTACCTTCGACGAAAACGTCGCCGCTCCACTTCTTTCCCCGCCAGGCGACCTACTCTTTGTGAATTCTCCCGGGGGGGGGAGTGGCGCGAATGAAACGACTCGGAACCACGAGGAGACGTGTAATGGCGAGAGCTTAATATTAAGCGTGTCGTTTCGTGATCGTCGTAAAAAATTAATTTGCAGAATATCGTACGTGTGATGGCACCGGTCGAAATAAAAAAAATAGGATAAAATAAATTTTTACTTTAAAAATACACGCTTGGAGAGAAGATAC